ATTGACACGTAGTCTTTTTCGTGGTTTCTTCCGAGCTCATCATTTATTCCGTGATTATCGTGCAATTGCTTTTCCAGACAACGTGTTATGGCTACTATTAAAAAGTTCGAAATACTGCGCAAACAAAAATAAGTTGTAGGAGGCATCACAAAGCCAACGATGACAGTGTTTAATCTCGCGTGATGAGTAGCTGTTAATCTTACTGGGCGAATTAGTTCTATTCGTCGTTGCGGTAGTTTTGAAATACATTCAAGAGAACATGAATTGTGACTAAAAATTTAAGAGTGGCAATCCTGGACGAATGTCACTGTAAGAGAACTGTGTCAGACATTTCCTTTCGAACTGCTCACATCGTTTTTATAACACATACAGCAGACGGGAAGCCACTACCGTACTGTGTTCAAGGATTGTGCGCTCCAGTCCAAAAAGCCTGCTCCAAGGCCGCGGAAAACTCGTCCCTGAATTTTTCCTGTTGTAGATTTAGCGGCGAGTGGAGCATCTTGGCATCTACGGGCTGACAAGTCCCAGCTGCCAGAGCGTATCTGTTCCCCGGTCTAACCAGGCGCAGGGAAAGGGATTTAGGACCGTGGGATAGGCGAATTCCTCCATACTCCGCCTAAACAGCAACTTGCGGAGCAGACGCGCTGCACGCTGCTACCATATCCGCATTGCATTAGTGCTGACCGGCCATCCTCGCAGCGCGTTTCGCGCGCGGCGTTCCTGGCACTTGCCAAGTCTTGTAGTTTGCGCTTCCGAATGCGATTAAAACGCAAACTCCTGATGCGGATGGCAACTGAAGAATCGCTAGTGCTGCAAATCCTGAATCGGATGGTGACGAGGCCTAGAATCAAAGAGCAACTATTGTAAATGTGAATTAATTGTAGGTCTTCATAAATTTCGCATTTCAACGCGATTGTGGCTCCGAAGCCGTAAAAGGCTTTGGATTATTGAGGAGGATGCTTAGCCTTTTTTAGTCTCATGCTCGGTGGGAATGTGCGGCTTACGAAGAAGATTTCACAAGCAGTATACAGTGTAGTTCGCTGCGGACGGTTGGGCGTGTCAGGCGGGATGAGTTTGGCGCGGTGCCAAACCCGTTCTCCACCAGTTGTTAAAGCGAGCAAAGTGATATGACTGTATCATATCGTTCGTATTACTCGTTTTCTACCACTTTTTGTCGCATGCGCGCTTCAACAAGAAGGCAGAGAACGGCTTTGATGGGGTGACCCATCACACTGCCTGACGTTTCTGAATGCTAGCACTCATCATCTAGCTCAGAGATTAGCATGAGCAACGTCTCAATTGCCATCCGCATCAGGAAATTGCGTTTAATGCTATTTGAGAGCGCAAACTATAATACCTGGCAGAGAGGTGGAGCGTCGCGCGCGGCGCGGACGACCAGTCAGTATATATGCGATAAGGTGTGTGCAGCATGTCTGCGCCACAAGTTGCATTTTAGGCGGAGTATGGAGGAATTAGCCTATACCATGGTCCTGGATCCCCATCCCGCGCATGTTCGGACGGGGCAAGCGCTACGCTTCGACTCTTAGAGGCCTGTCAGCCCCTCACATGCCAAGGATGCGCCTCGCAGTTGAGCGTGCATTGTGTCCGTAAGAGAATCTAAAGACATGCCTGCGGCTCAAAAATAGCCACTTATGCGGCTCAAATAATGCTAATGCAGCTCGACGACAAGAACACACTAACCAGGAAAGGTCAACAGGTCAGCCCGGCCATATACAATGAGATGCACATCATTGTACTCATCTTGACACGGTGAACTCGAAACTATCTTCAAAATTTGCGGAACGATTCTCTGAGCGGAGTTATGGAGGTTTTTCTTTACTGTTTTTCTTCTTCCAGGCGCGCTGGCGCCGAAGCGTTGGCACCTGTAGTGCGACTCGCAGCGCTCTTCGCGCAAAATAGGTGTCATATTTGTGTTCAGGGGGTCAAATAACCCCTAGAGACGTCATTTTAGCGAAATCTGAGTTTCTGACTCAACTTCGAAAAAATGGGGTATGGATAGTTCGGAAGAGCGTCGTG